CAGAGGGCACATGACTGCACATGTCACCCTGGGTCACTGCAGACCTCAAGGATGGCAGCTGCTCAGAGCCCTAGGCATGTGGAGGGGGGTGAGAGGAGAGGCAGGCAGGGCCAGGTCAGGACAGCTGCGGCCAGTGCCCTGAGGAGTTTGGGTCCCACTCTGGGGGCTGCGAAGGCAGGGCCTCCCAGCTTAGCTGCACGAGTCACATGGCAACCAGGCCAACAGCAGAATGAGTGCATCGCAGTGTCGGTGTGCGGGCAGCAAGCCTCAGAAAGATCCCTGGGGTTCAGTGTGCACCGAAGAGTCGGAGCCACTCAGCAGTATGCCCATGACCCAGTTTTCCTGGGGTTGGGTGGTTCTGTGGGGAACTTTGATCTGTGGTATTTGCCCATTTCTGTGGTGGAAACACTCCCATCACGGCCACTTTCAACCAATTGACGTTGCCTGAGCTTTGAGTGGGAGCAATCCCGGCCCACACGGGACCCTACGCTCCAGGACTTCAGGGGTGGGTGACAGGGTTAAATAGAAGTTTGAGTGTAGTTTGGAGGAGGCCCTTCAGGAAGGGCCCCAGATGGGAGGCTTCTGCAGCCATCCAGGGTGTTGCCTTCCGTGGGGCCGGAGGGGGAGTGCAGCTGGTGGTTTGGAGATCCTGTTGGTGATTCGGACACCCTCTCCAGTGCTAGCAGAGCCTCTGCCGTGACCACACAGCCAGCTGTTCTCTGATGCTGAGCGTTCCGACGGCTCTTACACTCTCCTGCACGTTCAGGATTGAGCTAGAGACTCCAGGGGGCCACCGATGGGCCCTTTAGCCAGAGAGAGAAAAGGGGAAGAGGAGGAAGAGGAGGTGGAGGAGGAGGAAGAGGAGGAGGAGGAGGAAGAGGAGGAGAGCTATAAAAGGCAGCAGTCAGCTCCCGTGGGCCAGAGCGCAGTAGGTCACCCTCCCACCACCACTCCACATCCCTGGCTGACTCGCTTTCCTGAGGCTTCTGATGCACAGCCAGCTGAGGCCTGGGTGACACGGATTGGTGTTGGAGCTGACAGAGGTGGAAGAGGACTGGCAGGCAGGGGAGGCAGGATGTGGCAGGGCCCAGGAGAGAAGGCAGGCCTAAGGAACCCAGACTATGGGGGTGCACAGGAGGGTGGAGGAAGCAGGTCTGCTGAGAGAATGTGGGGTCTCCAGGTCCCCTCCACGAGCACCTTAGGAGGTGGAGGGACCCAGCCAGAGGCCCGAGGCCCAAGGAAGCAGGCGAGGTGGTCCCTGAAGCTGCCCCGACTCATCCCTTTCACAGCCATCTACAACCTGACACAGGGGCAGAGGAAGGGGAGACGCGGTGAAAGCCCGTGCTGCCTGAGCTTCTGCGCATGTGCGTGGGCGCCGCTAGAGGGCTTGCGAAGATGGGTTCTGGGGCCCACCCTCAGGGCTCTTGGTTCAGCGATCTGGGTGGGCACAAGACTGCATTTCTTTTTTAAAGAACTTTTTTTAAGTTTGTTTCTTTCATAAGTGAGAGAGCGAGAGAGAGGGAGAGGTGGACAGAGAGGCAGAGCCCTTGACAAGGTTTTGACATGCATCTCCAACCCCAGTCTTAGCCAGCCCCAAACCTCAGGCACACACATGCTCACTTGTAGGCCCACTCAGGGAGGTCTCTGGATACGAACCCAGAACTTCCCCATGTGGGTCAGCCTTGCAGAGCATTGCTTTTTGCCTCTGCACTGCCATCTGGCCCCAACTTTGCATTCCTGACAAGTGCATAGGGTGTCAGGGGCCACACTTTGAGAACTCCTGGTCTAGAGTCACGGATTCTTTCCACCCATTTCCTGTCCTACTCATTCTTCTAGAGATGTGCCCAGACCCCTGAGCGTGCCCTAGTGGGCGTGTGGTCAGCTGTGATGTTGGACTAGTGTGGGGGCGTGGCCATGCCCACAACAGTCATTCACATGGAATGGCCAGCCAAGTCCAGTGTGAGACAACCCAGAGGACTCAGAAGAGAACTGCTGTGGCCCCTCTGGTCTGGGCTGTGCCTTTTTGTGGTCCTGTTTGCCTCCCACCTTCCCCAAGTCCCCACTGATGAGGTTGAGGGGACCGAATAGTAGGGAGACGCCTCCACTCACCTCATCATGCTGCTTGTCCTCAGTACGTCAGTGTAGTTTCTATCACTTTATTTATTTATTTTGTTTTGTTTTGTTTTGTTTTTGAAGAGGTTTGTTGTTTTTGTTTCTGTTTTTTTGCTATAGGGCGCATGCGCTTGTCAGAAAGACACACAGAGAGAGAGAGAGAGAGAGAGAAAGCGAGAAACCACCTCCCGGGGGATGGCCATGCTGCAATCCATTCTCCTCCATTCTCTTCCCAGGATCTTGGGCACGCACGCACACGTGCCCCGCATAAGTTTAAGCCACCAGGCCTGGGACTCGAACCGTGTTCGACTACATGGGAGTCCAGTGACATAGCCCTTAAGCCAACTGCTGGTTCTGTTTCTATTACTTTAATTTGCATTTGGTATGCAGACTTATTAGAAACTCTTAAGTGCTTCTGGGTCTTTCTCTGGCGATCCTAGTTGGGTGGTCATCGTCCAAGGCAGGGGCTCATTGTCCCCGTCCCTGTCCCGTCTCTCCACAGTGCCCACTGCCATGCCGGCAATGAAGCTCTGTGCTGGGCTGATCACGTCCCTGGTAATGGGACACAGATAATTTTGAAAATGGGAGACATTACAGAGCCTAGCATCCAGCCATCTGTGACCACAGTGCCCTCCTGTTTAGGAGAGACTCCGGGCTGTGACTCAGGGGGACAGATGTGTCCAGTAGTAGGACTTGTGACCGACTGCAGACTCCCGAGCCTGGCCCGCTGCTCCGTACCCTCCTCTCGCTGTGCTCCCGTGGGAAGGAGTCTAAAAACAGCGCCTAGCCCCAGGGCCAGGGAGCGTTCTTGTGATGACTGACAGATGACACCACACAGGCGTCCCCTTCTCTTGGGCTTCAGCCCTTGGCCATCCCTCAGAGGGCAGCCAAGGGGAACACAGCCCCCCAGTACCTCCCTCTGTGTGAGTCCAGAAGAGACAGGCGCTGCCTGGCCTGGGAGCACAGAGCGGGCTGGGCGTCCCCGTGCTGAGGGGGACTGCGGCGGGTTTTATTTCTGTTCTTTGTCAGAGGACACGTCCATGCTCGTGAGAGGGGAGTAAGGTGAGAGGAGAGAAAGGACCTCCAGTAGGACCTGGTCTTGTCATAGTTCTTTTTCTTCCAACTCTCCGTCCCTTCAGGATCCTGGGCACAGTGTACTGGGCATGCGTTTCAAGTGACCAGCGTCAGGACTCACACTGGGGACTTGAACCAGTTGGCCATGTAGGATCCAGCCTCCGCTCAACTGCTGCACTGTGGGGCCAGCCCATGGCAGGCTTTTGAGTGAAGCCCCTGGCGTGTCCTCGGCCAGGTAGTGATGGCTGTCAGGAAGAAGGAGGCCACAAGCGTGGGCCGCCGTCCCGAGGTGCTGTGGCTGGGCCTTTCTCAGGCGTTCCCTTGGTGAAGGGCCGGGTTCCCATCAGACCTGGTGTTGTAGGACCAAAAGAGGTTCTGGACTTTGTTTACTCGTGTATGTAGACGGTCTTCCTCCCAGTAACTTCCAAATCGGCTGCTTAAAAAGACCCAGAAAATCAAGGAGAAAAGAAAGAAGCAAAGCAAAGGACACAAAAATGCAAAATTATGTGTTGATGATAACATGTATGGTGATACCTTAGAGCTAATATAGCGTATTCATGCCAGAAAAATTCATTTTGTATGCTGTAATGATGTACAGTGATAATAATAATAATGATTATAACAACAATAAGCAGTTTTCTGGCCAGCCGGTGGCGTGGTGGGTAAGGCAGTTGGATCCCACGTGGTCGACTGTGCAGTTTGAGCCCTGGATCCGGCATCTTGAAAAACACACCAGACATGTGTGTGCATGCCCAAAACCCTGTGAGGAGAATGGAGAAGGTTTTGTGACATAACCATCCCCCATGGAGGGGTGCTGTCTCGCTTTCCTTCTGTCTCTGCCTCTGTCTATGATTAGTGCACACTCTGGCAAAATTAAACAAACAAAAATCAGGTAATGCCAAAACAATAGAAAGAAAAAAAGAATAAAACCCCCAATTTTCTAGATTGGCACTTCCCTCAAGTATGAAGTGGGACGGATGTATGACTCTGGTGTTAAGAGCTGTGAAATAACACGTTTATGAGCTGCATCAATAATATGAGTAGTGACATTTCCGTAATACTCAGCAACATGCCAAACGAGATAGTACATTTAAAAAATCTCTTTCTGGGAGCAGCAGATGGGATCATGGTTACATTGCTGGACTCCCACATAGTCGACCATAGTTCGAATCTTGGACCCTGCGGCTTAAAACCCATACCGGGCGCGTGTGCGTGCATACTCAAGATCCTGAGAGGAGAACGGAGGAGAAGGGATTGTGTCGTGGCCATCGCCCCGGGGGGTATTTCTTGCTCTGTCTTTCTATCTCTCTCTCAGGGGAGCACAGGTACCCTATAGCAAAAATGTCTCTCAAAAATACAAATAAGGTGAGCATTAAATAGTTCTAAATATTAAGACAAAGTAGGTAATTAGGATAATTCGGACTTTAAGGGGAAATTGCAGTCCCTGGAGGAGTAGAGGAGTTTGGGAGCAGTTTCTCTCTCCCAACTCGGCTTGCTTGCCCTCTGTGCTCTCGGACAGTCTGGACGGTGTGGAGACCTGGCGTCTGCCTCCTGCTCTCGCTCTGGAATCTCTTCTGTAAGAAGATTTCAGCAAACCTGTCCTTGCAACACTCAGGACCAGGCAGAGCTGGACTCTAGGCCCCAAGATCTGAGTACAGAGCACTTGTTAGCAGAGTCCAGGGACCTGGCCTTCCCAGGCTGGGAGCGGGCCACAGAGGTAGCCACTTGGGGCCTGGCTTGCGGTGGCGGGGTGGGAGAAGCATCACTCCCTCAGGTCACAGGCAGAAGAATCACCCTTTTTTTCTTTGCGTTAGGTTGGCTCCCATCATCTGAGACTCCACCGAGGCCTGGAAGCCAACGCCCCTGCTTTTGACAGGTAAGAACTGCCTGACACCATACTTGTCATCAGAGAGTGGCACAGGGTCAGGGGTGGCAGGAAGGGGAGTGGGAGTGGGCATGCAAGCCTAGAATCTACATTTGCCTTTTACTTCATACTCAAACGGAGTTTTTACAATGGGGTTTTTACTTGCTCTGAAGGTGAATTAATCCACGTTCAGGTAACACTGCAATTATTTTATCTTATCAATCCTTCTTGCAATGAAGCTTCACCTATTTGTCCTGGTTAGTAGTGAAAATCTAAACTGTAGGATATGTATAGCTGTTTCTTTTCATTTTAAAACTAATGTATTTCGAGGTTTTAAAAAGTGTAGAAAACGGGGACCAGCAGGTGGCATGAAGTTAACTTTGTTGGACTCCTGCATGGCGGTTGGCAGTTCAAGCCCCGGACTGGAGGCTTGAAACTCATGGTGGGCTCATGTGCACGTGTGCCCAAAATCTGGAGAGGAGAATGGAGGAGAGATTGCAGAGGTAAATTCTTACTTTCTGTCTCTCTGTCTCTTTCTCCGGTGAGTGCATGTGCTCTGTAGTAAAAAAAATCTCTCTTAAAAAAAAAAAAAAGGATAGAAAAGGGCCAGGAGGTGGCGTGGAAGTTAAGGTTCTGGAACCTACATGGCCAACTTCGAGTCCCACACCTAGTGACTTGAGAATCTCACCAGGCATGTGTGCATGCATGCCAAAATCCCAACAGGAGGGTGAAGGGATTATGGCATGGCCCTACCCCCTCCACCCAGGAGTGATTTCTCACTTTCCCTCTTTCTGTCTCTCTCTGGTTAGTGTGTGTGCCCTATAGCAAAAACTTAAAAGAAGTACAGAAAGATATAAGATGAAAAGAAAAAAACCTAACTCTTAATTCCCATTCTTAGAGATTTTACTATTAGTAATTTTTTTCTAGGGAAAAAAAATGTCATGTACATATTTCATTTTTTTAAATAATTCTTTTATTTAACTTTATTTATTTATTTATTATTTGACCAGAGAGGGACAGGGTGAGAGAGGGAAAGTGAGAAAACAAGCTGCTAGGTCTGGGGCTTGAACCACGGTTGGCCATGTGGGAGTCCAGTGCCCTTAACCACCACATCACCTGCTGGCCCCAATATTTGGTTCTTAAAACAGACATTGGATAACACATTTACTATTTTAGAACTTGCTTAACAAAAGCCGTTTCTTTGGTTTTTCTTTTTAAAAATTAGCTGGAGGGCGTGCATGCTCTCTGGAGAGAGCAGCAAGGTGAGGAAGCACCCCGTGGCAGTGGCCATGCTGCAGTCCCTCCTCCATTCCTCTCTTTGGGATGTTGGACACTCATGCACATATGCCTAGTGGGTTTTTTAACACACTGGGTCCAGGACTCAAACCATCCAGTTGGCTTGTGGGATCCAGCTACCTTAACAACCACGCCGCCAACTGACCCAGGAAAAGCCATTTCTAAGTTGAACTGTTTGTAATATGTACTTGAATAGTTTATAGGTCCTTAAAATTTTGCTTTTTAATTCTAAATATTAACTTTAAAAGTGATTTTAATAAATAAAATAACAGTTCTCAGAAGTTCTCAAAAGTAACTTTGTAAGTGTTTTAATCATTCTTTTTGAAGGGTGTGTGCACTAACCAGAGAGACAGAAAGCAAGAAATCACCTCCCTGGGGTGACAGGCGCCTGGAGGAGGGAGGAGCACCCTTAACTAAGGTCGGCCAGTGAGCGGACAAACCTGAATTCAAACTCTCCACTCCAAACTCCCTGTCCCTTCTCCTACACGGCACTATCCTTTCAAGTTATTGAGAGAACTTTTTTCCCTCTTACTGAGTTAAAAATAGTCCTTTTGTGATAATTTTTAAAAATTATGCTTGTAGGGACTAGCAGATGGCATAATGGTCACATCACCATGGACTCCCATGTAGTCGACCGCGGTTCGAGTCCTGGACCTGGTAGCTTAAAGCTTACAATGGGTGTGTGTGTGTGTGTGCCCAAAATCCCGAGAGGAGAATGGAGGAGAAGGGATTGCGGCGTGGCCATCCTCCCAGGGGGGTGATTTCTCACTCTCTGTCTCTTTGTCTCTCTATGTCTCTCTGGCGAGTACACACTTCCTATAGCAAAAATCTCTCAAAAAAAAAAAAAATCTGCTTGTAACAGAAACATGTCATGGGGACCAGCAGTTAGCGTAATGGCTATGTTGCTGGACTCCCACGTAGTTGAACATGGTTCACGTTCTGGACCCGGTGGCTTAAAACTCATGCTGGGCGCATGTGTGTGCATGCCCAAGATCCCGAGAGGAGAATGGAGGAGAAGGGATTGCAGCGTAGCCATCCCCCCTGGGGGGTGATTTCTTGCTGTCTGTGTCTCTGTCTCTGTCTGGTGAGCACACACACCCTATAGCAAAAAAAAAAAAAAAAAAAAAGAAACATGTCCTGGCCCAGCTGTGGGGACACACGTACGAATGGCACCATGCTTGGGAGGTGGGAGCGTGTAAACACACGTTGTGGTCCTAGCTGAGTCGGAGGCTGGGACTGGAGGATTATGACCTGGAGGAATCGTGTCAAACGATCGCTGTCTCTCTCCCTCCTCCCCTCCACTTTCTCATCGGGGGAAGACATGTCATCGTACAAATTTGGAAATGAGAAAAATGTTCGAAGAGAAAAAAATGTAAATTATACGTGCACTACCACTTCTGGCCTTCTGGCGTGTTTCCATCCAGTCTTTCTTTCTATATTTAAACATGAACAGCTCACTGTTAAATTTTAATTTTGTATTTTATTTAATTTATTTTTCTAGGCGTTTTTCCCTTAGAATGAGGGCGCTCACCAGAGAGAGAGAAACACGGTAACCACCCTCGAGACGGGGTGAAATCACCCTCCAGGGGTGATGGCCACACCACAATCCCTTCTCTTTTATTCTCCTCCTGGTATCTTGGGCATGCAGGCACATGTGCCTGGTATGAATTTCAAGCCGTTGGGTCCGGGACTTGAACTGTAGTTGGCCATGTGGGAGTCCAGTGATGTAACCACTATGTCATCTACTGGTCCTTATATATGCTTTTTACACTGTATTTTTTTCTCTATGTTTTTCTAAAAGCACTACATTTAAATAGTTCTAACATTAAAACTATAAAGTTTTTTTTTGGGGGGGGGAGAGATTTTCACTGTAGGGTGCGTGCGCTCGCCAGACAGACAGAGAGAGACATAGAGACAGAAAGCGAGAAATCACCCCCCAGGGGGGATGGTCACGCCGCAATCCCTTCTCCACCATTCTCCTCTCGGGATCTTGGGCACGCACGCACACGCGCCCGGCGTGAGTTTTAAGCCACCGGGTCCAGGACACGAACCGCGGTCGACTACGTGGGAGTCCAGTGACATAGCCATTACGCTAACTGCTGGTTCCCAAAACTATAAAGTTATTTTAATAAGGTGATAAAGGATAAATACTGGAGCCTCTCCAAAATATTTAAACATTTTAAAAATAACTATTTATTTAATTTTATTTATTCATTCATTTATTTTAATTTGACCAGAGAGAGACACAGAGAGGAGAGACAGATGAAAAGTGAGAAAGCAAGCCATCAGGTCCAGGACTCAAACCACGGTTGACCATGCGGGAGTGTCCAGTGCCTTAACCACGGCCAAATACTTCAACGTGTCTATTTTAAAAACTGCCTCTGATATTGGAGTATTTTCCTAAAGCCCACGTGGTTGCTGGGTCTCCTTATCCTGAGACCCAGCAAGATGCATTACCTGTAATGAAATGCCACACTGAGATGGACCCTGAGGTTGAGGGCTCTCCCAGCTGTCCTAGTTTTCAGGAGGATGGGTGCCAAGTAAAATAAGAAGGTAACTTCAGAGAGATGTTCATGCAAGGTCGGGGGCCAGCCGGTGCCGTGGTGGCTAAGGTGCTGGACTTCCCACGTGGCTGGGAAGTCCTAGACCTGCTGCTGTAAAACTGGGCACATGTGCGTGTGTGCCCAGAATCTTGGGAGCAGAGTGAGGAGAAGGGGTTGCAGCATGGCCATCTTCCTTGGGGGGTGATTTCTCACTTTCCTTCTCACTGTCTCCTCTCTGTCTGGTGAATACACTCACCCTATGACAAAATAATAATAATTATTATTATGATAATAAAGAAAAGAAAGAAAGGTCAGGCTATTTGTCCTAGATCTAACCATGGTACTTCTTGGGAAGTCTGTGCACCTTGGTGCAGAAGTCTGGCTTGCTGCTCTCTCTGGCCTGTGCCTGTAGGCAGACAATTGACACTCAAGGGAGGGTCTTCAGTTCTTAGAGGGTGAGTTTTATGAAAAAAAATATGCATAGATTTCTCTTTGCCGCAATCCCTTCTCCACCATTCTCCTCTCGGGATCTTGGGCACGCACGCACACGCGCCCGGCGTGAGTTTTAAGCCACCGGGTCCAGGACACGAACCGCGGTCGACTACGTGGGAGTCCAGTGACATAGCCATTACGCTAACTGCTGGTTCCCAAAACTATAAAGTTATTTTAATAAGGTGATAAAGGATAAATACTGGAGCCTCTCCAAAATATTTAAACATTTTAAAAATAACTATTTATTTAATTTTATTTATTCATTCATTTATTTTAATTTGACCAGAGAGAGACACAGAGAGGAGAGAGAGATGAAAAGTGAGAAAGCAAGCCATCAGGTCCAGGACTCAAACCACGGTTGACCATGCGGGAGTGTCCAGTGCCTTAACCACGGCCAAATACTTCAACGTGTCTATTTTAAAAACTGCCTCTGATATTGGAGTATTTTCCTAAAGCCCACGTGGTTGCTGGGTCTCCTTATCCTGAGACCCAGCAAGATGCATTACCTGTAATGAAATGCCACACTGAGATGGACCCTGAGGTTGAGGGCTCTCCCAGCTGTCCTAGTTTTCAGGAGGATGGGTGCCAAGTAAAATAAGAAGGTAACTTCAGAGAGATGTTCATGCAAGGTCGGGGGCCAGCCGGTGCCGTGGTGGCTAAGGTGCTGGACTTCCCACGTGGCTGGGAAGTCCTAGACCTGCTGCTGTAAAACTGGGCACATGTGCGTGTGTGCCCAGAATCTTGGGAGCAGAGTGAGGAGAAGGGGTTGCAGCATGGCCATCTTCCTTGGGGGGTGATTTCTCACTTTCCTTCTCACTGTCTCCTCTCTGTCTGGTGAATACACTCACCCTATGACAAAATAATAATAATTATTATTATGATAATAAAGAAAAGAAAGAAAGGTCAGGCTATTTGTCCTAGATCTAACCATGGTACTTCTTGGGAAGTCTGTGCACCTTGGTGCAGAAGTCTGGCTTGCTGCTCTCTCTGGCCTGTGCCTGTAGGCAGACAATTGACACTCAAGGGAGGGTCTTCAGTTCTTAGAGGGTGAGTTTTATGAAAAAAAATATGCATAGATTTCTCTTTTTTTGCACCAAAATAAACTCCTACTTTAATTACATTTTTCCGTGAATCTTTGAGCCTTCAGAAGCCTCCTACGGCAGGATGTTGAGTGAGCAGGCGTGGTGGCTGGGAGAGGTGGGTTTTCTCTCCCCAGGGCTCAGTTCTCTCATTGCTCCATGCTTTGGGTTAAGGGGACTGGCACCCTCTTCCCAGACTGGGTGAGACCCTGCCTGATCACCTTTTCTGGGCCATTGCAGGCACATGGTGCTTCTGAAGGAGCAGTACGGGAAGCAGGTGGTGGTGAACCTGCTGGGAAGCCGCGGAGGTGAGGACGTGCTCAACAGAGCTTTCAAGGTATGTCCTCCTTCCTCCGGGCCCTCAGCTACGGGGGCGGGGCCTGCTGTCAGGGGCAGGGCCTGTCCAGTGGGTGGAGTCTGCTGGACTGACTACAAGGGCTACAGCTGCCTGTCACCTGAGTTTCATTGTTGGTAACTGCCTGGTGAGGGGAGAGGGGTCACTAGAGTTGTGAGGGCCCCCCACCCCGGTTCCTGGCCGGTTTCCATCTACCCTACCCAGCCCCGCGGGCTCCCTCTGCTGACTTCGCTGAGGTCTTATTTGGACTAAACCAGAGAGGGGCGCTATCCTGGCAGGATAGTGACTCCCCCACAGTCACCTGTCACCTGCTCCGGGTGTACCCGAGAGCCACAGTCTGCTACATCCGACGTTTCAGAACAAGCCCCAGCAGCCCTGCCCCTTGTTCCTTCCCGGACTCCCATGTCCCTGCTCAGTGGGGAAAAATCCTCTGGTCGTCTGAAGTCAAGGAGACCCCACTGGAGTCACTTGAAGTCGCCACAGAGGAGGGGTGTCGACCTTTGTCTTCTGTGGCCTGACCCCTCACCCCTGACCCTCTATCTGCAGAGCACCCAGCTGGGGTGTTCATCTCACTCTTTTCTTAGAAAAGCCACAAGCCTGAAGCTGGGACTTTATGGTTGGCAATTGTATTTGGCCAGACCAGTTTTTCCTGTTTGGTTTGTTGCTATTAGCAACAGGCTCCAGAACCATCTCTCCTCCCACCCATCTTGGCAGAGATGCTGGCTGCTTATTTTAAGGAGGAAGAAAAAAGAAGAAAAGAAAAAACCCAGATCTGCTTTTTTTCATGCCTCGAATTTTGAGAAAAGGATATTCCCTATCAGGAGGTGGAAATGCGCCCCCACCCCGCCTCCTGCACTGAAGCGAAGGCCTCTTCAATGACAAGAGGCCTAGGGTCCTGGCCCAGGCGGGGAGGACAGGTCCTGGGTGGGGAGAGCTGGAAGCCCGGCCTCAGTCCTGGCTTAGTCCAGTGCTGTGCTGCTCACAGAATCCCGGAGCCCCGAAGATCTGTGGAGAAGAGCAGTGTGTGTGACTCACAGTTCTGGAGGCCAGAGGCTCCCTGGCGTGGATGGGCATCAGGCTGGCTACGTCACAGCACAGCCGGCAGCAGCAGGAGGGTGGGCGTGTGCAGAGAGTGGTCTGTAGTCCATGTCTCTCCTCATAATCCCTGCAGAACTCGGTCATGGGGCCCTGCCCTAACCCCCCAAGTCACTAATCTCCTCCCAGAGCCCACCCCCCAACATAGTGTCCATCAAGCTCTTATCGTCCCACTCCCATCACAATGGCTCAGCCAGTGAATTTGCGGGGGACATATCCAAACTACAGCAGCCCCGACCGGGGTGCCCTGCCCACACCAGCACTGCCCAGTCCACGGCAGGTGCGCCCGGCGGCCGCACGA